AATTATGGGCTAGCTTTAATTAGCCTCTTTTTACATGACCGTGTATCCATGCCCTCCGGCGAGGTTCAAGGGTATGATACTTTGTGGGCAACGTGTGAGCTCCCAGCGTCAGTCTGTTCCCCTGTTTTCGTTAAAAAAAAAGAAGAAAAAAATCTTAGTAGGCAGTTAAAGGAAAACAGCCCATTTTGTGGAAAAGGCAATTTGTACGACAGAATTCCTGAACCAAATGAACCTCTTCCTTGAATAGGGCCACCACACCCAATTGTAATGATATGGTGTCTGCAGAAAATTAGGGCCCAGAAACTCGTTTGTGGCACCAGAGAGATTTTCATCTTCTGCATCTACTGTTACACCTCTGGGCACAAAGGGGTCAGTGAGAATCCCAGAAAAAAAAAGAGAAAAAAAATCCAGCATTACCCCCCCACCCCCAATCTCTTTTCTCCCTGCCTTTTGACAATAAAGAATTAAACCCGGGTGAGTCCTGGAAAGCGCTTCATGTCTGGATAATACCTTTTTCATCAGGCTGCTCTGCATGGCAACAAATAAACAAGTATAATTACACCTGGGAGGGTCCATTGAGCGCTGTGCCGGGATTAGGTGCTGGTGGCTCCTGCATGGGGCCCTTGCCTTTGTCTTTGCCTAACTCGCTGTGACGTGCCGGCAGTGCGCTTTGTGCCCAGGCGGGCGACGGCCTTTCAGGAGCATGACAGAGTTCAAGGGGAGCCGTTTTATCTCCCCTCCCCCGCCACTCACAGCACGGGCCACCTTAAAAACTCACGGCCCACTCCAGGCCTGTGTGTGTGTAACTCTTAACCTGAATGGGGCAGAGAGAGAGTGCGGGCCGGGGGGAGGGGGGAGGAGGATGTCAGAGGGGGGACAGCCCCTTTCGGAGAAAATAAATAAAACTGCCTCTTATTTTTTTTTTCCCCGAAAGCACTCAGAAAAGGCAGTGCTTTCTGCTGTCCTGTCCAGAAGCCACATAGCAGCCAGTATCTGAGGAATGTGGAGGACGGGCTAGATAAGCTTAATTAAAAAAGAAACAGATATGTCTGTGTCTGTGAGGGTGAGAGACAGACGTGGTTACCTTGGAATTAGTGCCATTAAATTTAAATGCTACAGTGACGCAGTCGGGGCGGGGGGGGCAGTGATGAGTCTGCCTTCCTAGTGAAGCACACCAGCTGGCCTGTTGTTCAGCTGGTGGGCGGGAACTCAATGACCCCTACCTTCCTAGTGAAGCACACAAGCAGGCCTGCTGTTCAGCTGTGGGAGGATGATGAGCCTCCCTTCCTAGTGAAGCACACAAGCAGGCCTGCTGTTCAGCTGTGGGAGGGTGATGACGATGAGCTTCCCTCCCTTCCTAGTGAAGCACACGAGCAGGTCTGTTGCTCAGCTGTGGGAGGAGGACCACGATGAGCTTCCCTCCCTTCCTAGTGAAGCACACGAGCAGGTCTGTTGCTCAGCTGTGGGAGGGGGACCACGATGAGCTTCCCTCCCTTCCTAGTGAAGCACACGAGCAGGTCTGTTGCTCAGCTGTGGGAGGGGGACCACGATGAGCTTCCCTCCCTTCCTAGTGAAGCACACGAGCAGGTCTGTTGCTCAGCTGTGGGAGGGGGACCACGATGAGCTTCCCTTCCTTGTAGCATTATGGCAGGTATTTATCTGGTCCCACTTCACACTCTTAAGTTTTATATATGTATTTCACAGTTATATGTATTTTTTTAAAACTGAAGGACAGCATCAAATCACATAAAGTCCAGTCAAACAACTAAAAATGCCAAAAAGTCTTGTATTTTGTTTGGTTACTTATGGTTAAGGTTAGGGCTGGGTAGGGGTTAAGGTTGCCATGTTGGGATTAGAGTCTTCCCCATAGAAATGAAGGGAGAGTCCCCACAAAAGGTATGCATATATATTCATGTGTGCTTGCAAAATCCCAAGATGTCATCACTTAGGTTTTTGCCCATTCATCGGCTGGCCAGGGAGAGTGAGGGTCAGTGAGACACAGAGCTGCTCTGTAGGAATCCCACGCCAGTCGAGAGCGTGTGTAGGGTGTTCCAGGGCATCCGTCAGACACCATGGTTTAACCAGAGTTTCGGGGCATCTGTCTCCTCCTTCCAAAAGTTGATGTGTTAATGTTTTGACTTGAAGAGTGTGGTTTCTGTCGCAGGTAATGCAGTTGTGGAGCAAGTGTGTCTTGAATTTTGTATTGAGATCCCACAGCCACGTTTGAGTCTCTATCTGAGGGCTAATGGACATGCCTCCATGTGACCATACCCCCCTTCTCTGCATAAGTAGCCACGCCCCTTCCCCCTCCCACTCATGGGTAGCCACACCCCTTTCCCCTCCATTAGTGGCCGTGGCCCTCTCCTTTAGCCAGCTATGGTTTTATTCAATTAGAGAAGGAAAAAATTGTAGCTATTCCTCAAATTAATGAAAAACAACTTTTCGATTGTGCTGTTTAACCAAGGATTGCTTCTGGTTAATGATCATCAGAAGGCCGAACCGGTAAATACCATGGTGTCGATAAGAATGCATTTACCTTTCATATTTACAACTTTAGCTGATGCTTTTGTCCAAAGTAAACGACACAATACAAACATGTGCTATCAAGGAGTCGACTTGGCAGAAGCGCAGCTAGACTGAGCTTCCAGTGACTGTCCAGGTCCTGCTGTGAGCAGTACAGGAGCAGGAGCTACACAGCACCTTCTAATACCCTTTGTAGGTTGCGTTCTTCAAAGATCAAATAGAAAGCATCGTCAAGTGGTCTGGCCTCTGGATAATGTCCTATTTACATTACCAGCTGCTCCTGTCGCAGGAGTGGCCAATCTTATCCGCAAAGGGCCGGTGTGTGTGCGGGTTTTCACTGCAACTCCCTAATTAGATTACTAATTAGAGGCCTGATTGGCTGAAGAGTCCTCACACCTGGGTTTGAACAGCTGACCTAAATGTTATCCTAAAAACCTGCACACACACTGGACCTTTGTGCATAAGATTGCCCACCCCTGTCCTATCGCCTAGCCGGGACACGCCCACTTTACCTCTGTGCAATGAATCCTGGGATGTGTTGGGCTGCGACGGATCCATCGACTTGGTCCCTCGCAGCTCTGCTGAAGGAGAACACATTTCTAGTCTGCATTTGAGAAAGCCTTCGAAATGGGACGGCCCTGTCGCCCCGCTGTGACGGATTCGGGCTTTGAATGCAGCCTCAGGAAGGTGCAGCCCCTCAAACTCAGATGGTGCCTTTCCAAGCGCTGCCTGCAGCTTGTGTTTATTATATCAATCCAGCTTAATTTCTGGTGTTGGTTTCAGTCCTCCGATGCCTGTTAGAGGTCCTGAAGGCTTGGGCTCCTGCTGTTGGCCGGTGTTGTCCCTCTGCAGATGGGGGGGGCCCGTCCCCGTTTGCCCTTGCTGGAAGCGCCTTAACCGGAAGGCCGAGATCCTCTGTCACCTCTGACACAGCGCAGCTGCCCCCCCACCCCCCGCATCGCTTTGGGATAAATGCTCTGCAGCTGGCTGAAAATGTGTAGGATCTCCATGGCCACTGGGCCGCCATCCCGTGGTGGTCAGCGTCAGGCCTCCTGTGCTGGTGGTACCGCCGCTGCATTCGGGACGCTGCGGACCTTTTTTTTTTTTCTTCTTTCTGGGTGACGCTCTGCCCTTTGTCTTCCTCCTCTGGGGTGTAAGTGAGTGCGGTAATTAAGCCGGACTGCTCTCCGTGCCGTGCGGGGTCCGAGCGTGGGACAGAATCGTAATTAGAGGCACTTAATAAAGACCCACTGGGAACCTCAGAGACATGTCCGGGGGACGATGTGAGGTAAGCTGATTTACTTGGTGCCACGGCAACCATCGGTCGCCCCCCCCCCCCTTCAAAGAAGAGTAGTGATCGTTTTAATTTTTTTCTTCTGCCTTTGTCTTCGCGGATCAGTTTCTTATCATGCTGAGGTAATGAATAGTGGCGGCGGGGGGGGGGCTCTTTTTGTGTTGGAGGTGTGAAATGGGCAGCAATAAACACAGTGTTGTCTCATCCATGCTGGATCCTTATTTGAAAGGCAGGGCAGCTACAAGAAGCGCACAGTTATTTAATATGTGTCGCAACATCAAAAAGCTTCAGAAATCTGGTTTCATTAACGGTGAAGTGCTCCTGCTGACTGTCACGGGCCCCGGCTGAGCGTGTCTGGGAGGGGCATGTATTTATTACACAGTGTGATTAAAAACCTGTTATTTTGACGTTGTGGGGGCCACCTTTTCGGTCCCCGCGAGGGGAACATCAGTTTTACAAAAATCTGTGACTGCAGTCAAAAAACTAAAAACGGCAAAAGTCTCACACTCTCTTTGGTTACTTATGGTTAAGGTTAGGGCTGGGTAGGGGTTACGGTTGTTATTGTGGGGATTAGGGTTTTCCCCCATAGAAATAAATGGAGAGTCTCCACACAAATATGAGTGTGTGTGTGTGTGTGTGTGTGTGTGTGTGTGTGTGTGTGTGTGTGTGTGTGTGGGAGAGACTGAGAGCCTGTAACATGTATCCTGTAAGAGTAGGAGTGAAGCTGTGTAAAGTGCCTGCCTCCTCATTCAGGGACGCCAGCAATCACAACAGTAACCAAAGCTGAATGATCACGGCGGCACACGCGGCCCTGGGACGTGAACCCCCCCCCTCTCGCGGCTCCTTGCCATGACCCGCCCCCGCGGGGGCCCCAAGCTGCGACTTTCTAATCTCGCCGAGTGATGTAATTTAGGGCCCGTTAAGCGACTGGCCGTCATATCATTTATAGGCAACGCGACGACATCTGTTGGAGCCAGCAACCTAATGACTTATTGATTTAACCTTATATTTCAGTGTTTCAGAATTCAGCATACGCATCACTTCCTAAATCACGCTGTCATAAAGCTGTCGCGCGGACGTGTGCAGTTCGGTAATGAGCCACCGGACGTCCGCGTGATATTTCTGTAGCATTTTTTAAACACACACACATATAACCTTGTTTTCTGTTTCTTTTTGTGTTCAGGTCCCTGACAGGTGGGATGAAATGAGATCCCCATGTCGTGATTGCCATGGAAACCGGTGATTCCCCTTCTATGTCAAGGCAGCAAAATGGGCGGAGCCTCTCAGAGCCATGCCAGGCCACTTGTCACGATAATGACCTCGCGGAAAAAGGCGGTGGGATGGAGCTGGGCGCGGAGGGTGGCCCCACGGATGTCAGTCTGAGAGCGGCCGGGAGGCGGGCGGTCGGCGCATGCGGGCCAGACGGCGACGAAGCCGCCGGGGCCCAGCCCGCCTCGCCGACAGAGATCTCATGCGGCGAATGCTTGAGTGCTTTCCCAAGCTTACGGTGCTATATGGAGCACCACTGCCTGGCATCACGGCGCGTCCAACCCGAGGATGGTGATGGAAGCGGGACCAGCGAGCCGGAGGACGGCGATGTGGAGAACCTGCCGGGGGAGATCGTCTACCAGGCCGACGGCTCCGCCTTCATCCTCGAGGACTCCGGAAATGCTGCCCCACGCATGGGCCTCTTTTCTCTGGCTGCTTTCCCAACTCCAGCACCTTCTGCCGGGGCCCTGGCGTCCGTGTCGGTATTCCCGCAGATCATCGACACGTTTCACATCGCCACGGCGCCCGCACCTCCCCCACCTGACCGCTCTTTCCCAGATACCTCAGCGCTTACGGCCGCCGGCCCCGTGTTGCACAGCTTCCGCGTCTACGACCTCCGGCACAAGAGTAATAAGGACTATCTGTCCGCCGTCGGCACCCCCTGTGTGTCAGATGTCCCCGGCGACGTGGACCTGTCCCGATTCGATGGCCGTGTCAGCGATGGCAAGAGAAAGCCCATCCTGATGTGTTTCCTGTGCCGGCTGTCTTTCGGCTACGTGCGGTCGTTCGTGAGCCATGCTGCACACGACCACCGCATGGTGCTCACTGAGGAGGAGTTAAAGCTCCTCTCCAATAGGAATGTCTCTGCCATCATTCAGGGCATTGGCAAAGACAAGGAGCCCCTCTTAAGCTTTCTAGAACCAAAAAAACCAAACGCTGGCCTGCCCCGTTTCCCCAGTGCCAACCTGCTTAGTCCTGATTCCCGAGTTAATGGCCTGTGGAGCACAGTTCGTTTGGAAAATGGCGAGTCCCTGTCGGCCAGCTTAGCTGTCCTGAAGGGAAGCGCGAGTCCCACCAGACGTACGGAGACGGGCCCCACCGACCTGTCCGGTTCTGTGGCTCGCTCTCCCGTCAGGCTGGAGGGTGGCTGCGAACGGCCAGTGGAGGGCGCCACACCATTTTCCGATGGCTCGTTCAGCGTCAAAAGCGAGCCCCGAGATGAGAACGAGGACGACGACGGCGGGATCGGCGACCCGGAAGGTGGCAGCGGCGACTTCTCTGTCTTAAACCAAAGCATTTCCCCCTTAGCGAGCCACGTGCCAAAAAGTGGCAGGAGAGAGTCTGCGTCTCCCGCGGTTGGTGCTGACGATGCGGAGAGGAGCGGAGTGCCGCCTGCCTTGGCCGACAGCAGCGACAGCCAAAGCGGTAGCGACAGGGATTACGGCGACCCTGGGAGTCGGCAAGAGGGCGCCACGCCATCTCATTCCAGCCACCCCCCGCGGACAGAAGACGGGAGCCCCACCCCTCCACTTCACGGCCCCTGTGCAGGGGGCCATTCCCCCGGCGGCGGCGTCGAATGCCCCAAATGCGACACCGTGCTGGGCTCGTCTCGCTCCCTGGGCGGTCACATGACCATGATGCACTCGCGCAACTCCTGCAAGACGCTCAAGTGCCCCAAGTGTAACTGGCACTACAAGTACCAGCAAACGCTGGAGACCCACATGAAGGAGAAGCACCCAGAGTCTGGCGACTCCTGTGCCTACTGCGGCAGTGGGCAGCCGCATCCCCGGCTGGCGCGTGGCGAGAGCTACACCTGCGGCTACAAGCCCTTCCGCTGCGACGTCTGCAACTACTCTACAACCACCAAGGGCAACCTGAGCATCCACATGCAATCCGACAAGCACCTGAACAACGTTCAGACGCTACAGGGGGGTGGCACCATCGACACCACCGCCACATGCGCCCGGCCCACCTCCCCTTCCCCCACCCCTGCACCTGCCCCGTCACCGCCTGCCCGGCTGAAGCAGAAGCCAGCGTGGCGCTGTGAGCTGTGCGACTACGAGACGGGTGTGGCCCGCAACCTGCGCATCCACATGACCAGCGAGAAGCACATGCACAACGTGCTGTTGCTGCAGCAGAACATCAAGCAGATGCAGCATGGGCTGCACGTGGGCCTGGCACCCGCTGAGGTCGAGCTCTACCAGTACTACCTGGCCCAGAACCTGGGCCTCGCCGCTGTTAAGCTGGAGAACCTGGCTGAGCAGCACGCGCTGGTGGGCCCCTTGCAGGCAGAGTCGAGCCTGGCCCTGGGGCTGTCCTCTGGCCTTGGTAAGCCCCCCCCCCTTCTGTGCCGGACACTGGTCTCCTGGTCGCAGTACGTGCTGGTGAAGGAGATTGATGAAGTTCTTCATTTTTTGCGCTAAAGTTGGGTCTAAAAGGAGTGCAGGTAGCAGTCAGTGATTTATTGGTCCTGAAATTAGCTCAATCACACTCAGAACTAGGATACAATGTTACAGTGTTCTGGAAGTGTGATTAAGTCCGAAACTGCAGGAATAATAATAATGCATATAATTAGCTGTCATTATTATTCTTTTTGTCTTGTTTTTGTTATTGTTGTCTTGTTATTGTTTTATTATATTTATGATTCCATTCATGGTGGAGGAATTTCTCAGGTAGAAACATCATGGTAGAGCAGTGCATCTCTAATGCCTATTATTACAGTTTTAATGGATATTATTAGATACGTTCTGCTTTCTCTGCGATACTGACATGTAACATTATTTTTTTTAATTGTTCGTTTTGATGTTCTCACAGAAAAAGTAAATCTCACTTGCAGTGAGCTTATTTCCCATGGGAATAGGCTAATGACAGATTATTGCTTTCTGGCTCCAGTACAGAGTCTGCGTGCCGTAATTTGGCGAGTGTTTTTTTTCCCTCTCTGGTTCATGTTCTAAATCACTGCCATTTTTACAGTATTTCCCATGATGCACTGCTTTGCTGCTGCTAAATATGGAAATGCTCGGAATGGTCACGTAACGACTCCTGCTAGGTTCTGTCTACAGGCGGATATTTTGTGCCCTTTTTTTGATTGATTAGATTTTTCTCTGGCTCTGAAGCAAACTGATGATGACCCACCTCTGGGTGTTCTGGCTTCTTACAGCAGACATAAAACTGGCCTTTTTTTTACATGGATTCAATCAATCGAAATTTAAGTAATTATTCTACGCATTGACTCTGAATGAGAATAAACATCATGAGAATTTAAAATATGAACTAAGAGGAGTAAGTATTGTATTATGATAATACACTATAATAGTGGCCGTGATGTAGTGCACATGAGACTCTTCGCATATTTTTCTACTGTCCCTTTACGCCCTTTATAATCTGCCTTTCTTTCTTCGTTCCTTTTTCTCCATGTCCTGCTGGCTTCCCTCCCGCAGCGAGCAGCGAGCCGTCGCAGGAAGAGCGCGCCTGTGCCCGTCCGCTGGGGGCGGAGCCCTCCGTCACCACGGACCCACGGCTGAAACTCTTCCACTGCGTTGTGTGCGGCTGTTTCACCTCGGACAGCCTGGAGGCTCTGGGGGCGCATGCCGCCGCTGAGCGCGCCCTGCCCGAGGCCGAGTGGCACGTCAGCGTGGGCGAGCTGCACCAGTGCACGCTCTGCGGCTATGGCACGCAGCTGCGCGCCAACTTCCAGCTGCACTGCAAGACAGAGCGCCACGTGCAGCGGCACCGGCTGGCAGCACACATGCGTGAGGGCGGCGAGCCGGGCTGCTGGAGGACCAAGGCCCTCGACGCCGCTGCCCCTATGCATCTCAGGTGCAACGCATGCGACCACCAAGCCAGCAGCGTGGAGAAGATGCGACAGCATGCAGTGGGGGCACAGCACGAGGCCGGCTTCAGGCTCTACAAGGTGGGTGGGGCATTGGGATGGCTTCCTGGAGGGGGGGACTAGTTTCTGGAACCGTCTGCACAGAAAAACCACTGTGCAGCCATGGTTTGCGCAGACTCCATGCGCCCGGAGCACACAGAGAAGCACTGTTGTGTCTCGAATAATGAAGGATAATCCAAAAGGCGGGACCGGGTCCCTGCATTCTTGGAGGTAATAAGCCTTCAAATGCCTTGACAGCCTGACTTGGAGCAGAGAGAAGATGCAGCTCCGAATAAGCGAGGGTACTGTGCTCTCACGAACCCGCAGCGAGCATGTCTCTCCGTCCGCAGGGATAAAAATCATCCCAACCGGGAATCAAGATCCGGCGCGGCATATCCATTCGTGTCGGGGGCAGGGGGGTCGGAGTGCCGTGTTTGACTGCCCCCTGCTGGCCGAGCCTGGGACCTTGGGCACAGGCTCGCCGTTTGATGCAAGATGGTCGGTATCGGCAGGCTTTATTACTCTGATGGCTGCCATTAGGTTCTTCGGGGGCAGTGCAGTTTGGGCACAAGGAAGTTCCAATGTGCTCTTATAAGTATAGTCCCTATAAGGATAGAACATCTGGTCTGGTTACTCATTGGAAGTGGGGAGTCCGTTAAGTTACCATAGAAACCGTCAAGAGACGGGTTTGGGTTTTAAAACACACGTTTAATAAAACGTTAAAACGTTAAAGTGCATTAATACAGAAATGTTACGCGGCCATGTGACATTTCTGCACCAATAAGAAGACGTTATTTAACAAAGCTGTGGTTTTGATATCTATAATATCTTACACTGCATGTACATTGTCTGGGAACAATCGAAGTGTCCTGTTCATTTTTGAGATTTATGTGTGAAAGTCCAGGAATATAATGTATTAATTTATTATTAGTAGTAATAATACTAATAGCACGGGGCTATAGACCGTCCTGAACGGCGTCCCCGTTATTCCACGCGCCCTGGCCTGCCGGGGGCTTGAGTCCCGGGGGGAGTGTAAATACGGGGGGCAAGAGGCTGCCCCCGCAAGTTGCCGTTAACCCCCTCCCACCCTTAAAATGTGCTGTGCAGATGGGCCCCCTGATGCCTTTCACAGGGGACTGAAAGCAGCTCATATTATATACATAGTAGTAAAGAATTGGGGAGGGGGGGGGGCTTTTAACGATTTATGGTGATTTAAGTGCCAAAATCACCCTACAAACATGGCCTGGGCTGTTTAGTGAGATTCGTATGTGGCTCCTTTGTTCGCTGCTTAAGGATGGGGAGAAAAACGGAGCGGTTTTACTCAAATTAAACGGATACCGGAAGATTCTGCCCCTGTGCTGAGGGGTTAAGTGCTGTAGTCTCTTCTTAAGCCGTGGGAATGAGGCGGGCCTCTGCTCTGGCGGTGAAATCGAAAATCGGTCACCTGCTTGACACCGGACGAGTGTCAGTAACCTGGTTATGGACCGGTGTTGCCGACCGTGAGTCAGGTCTGTTTTGGAAGCAGCTGTTGGTGCTGGGTAATGGCGACCGGCACGGAGATCAGCAGCCGCGACCTTTGACCTGACAGTTGCTGTGCTTTCATACCTGTTAGGAAGGAGCTTAAAATACCGCAAAAGAAATGCAGTAACAAATCCAGCTCTGAAAATATATTACTTCTTTTGAATAAACCTGTTGTGTAAGCCAGGTGGTAATTGTAATAGCCTATTCATAATTGTATTGAACAATAAATTAACACCAGATCATTGTTCTTTATTTGCTCATGGTAAGCGATGTGCAGTGCATTGTGGGATATAACGTCTGTGAGAGTCAGTTATGGTGCAATCTATGGTCTCCACTCTGCTGCCTACAGTTGGGAGAATGAAAGTAATTTTTTTTAAATAATAATAAACACTGTCACTGCATGTAGAGTCATGTAAATCTGTCAAGACTATTCAAAGTTTCTGCAGCGCTCAGTAAACACAGGAAATATTTGTTTCTTTAACAGGAGGATTAGTGCAGGTGCTCGGGTCATTTAAAACCAGGAATGTTCAGGCTTGGCGCGTTGGTCTCTGCGCCGAGGAGCTCGAATGGCTCGCCACACCTGTTCTTCAGCTGGCTGCCCCCCAGGGGGGCATGGTAACTGCCGCACACCCATCCCATACCATTGGCCGCCCCCTCCCCCCCTTTTTGCAGGCCCCCTCCCCTTTCCTAGTGACCTACCAGCAGGCGGTCTGCATCTCGTTGCTTGTTTGCATATTTGACTTTTATTCTCCCTTCCTCCGGGGGG